GCCTGCCAGGGCGAGAGAAGAACAAAAGCTCCGGAAGTAGTATGAGAAGTTCGTCGCCCGGAAGAGACGCGAACGCCGATAGACCCTTTTAGCATAGGGTGTTCCAGGCTATCTTCAACGGAAGTGAAAAAGAACAAACTCAAGTGATTTCTCTGTTTTCGTCTACTTGGTATGAGAAATTACGCGCGAATAGGGTATTTCGAGTAAGCGGAGCAGCGGAAACGGAACGGCCGAGCAGCTGCTGGATCCGTCTCAGCCTGCGAACTGCGCATGCGCAGTAGACTCTGCGCCACCCCGCCGCCTCCTCCCTCTCCCCCGCGCATCAGCAGCAGAGATGCAACCAGCGGTGAACTGGCCGGTTCCGTTTCCGCCGCTCCGCTTACCCGAAATACCCTATTAGGCTCCCCTCCACCCGCCGCTTCTCCGCGCGCCCGCCCCCACCACCGCTCTCTCTCTATCCGTTGTTGTTCTTCTTACCCGAAGTCGTGAAGACAACTTCATATCGAAAGATTGTATAGGAAGTAAAATAGACCATTTCACCCGAGTGCGGTTCAATATCTCGAAGAACAAAAATACCGGAAGTCAGGGTTATGTGTCACTTATAATAGAGGTTTGACGTCATTGTAACTCACAATTTACCCTTCTCCGATCTAAATTTAGTCAACATGTTATTCTTGCGGCACAAACCGCTTCAGTGTAACGTGCTCAATGGCCAAGAACGTTCCGTAAACTGCCCGACTTCCGGTATTTTTGTTCTTCGAGATGTCGAAAAGCGCTCAAGTGAAATGGTCTATTAAAACAACCGTTACTTGGCGTTGAACCACACCCGCCGTAGGGTTAGATCATCTACTATCATCACAAAGTTCATTTTTACATAAGAATTTTACTAAATTAGAACTTCAAACAAATACTTTCACCGAATATCATTAGTTTCGTCAGGGGTATGCAACGCCAGCCTGCAACGCCAGTATTTCAATGGAGCGCTGCCCGGAACTAAGAAGAACAAAAGCGGATGCAGAGAGCGGTGGTGGGGTTGGCCGCGTGGAGGAGCGGCGGGTTGAGGTGAGCCTCCCCGCCCGCCCGCCCCCACCACCGCGTCTGGCCCACATTTAGCTAGGCCTGAGGCGCCGATACCAGAGGCGAGTTAATAGGGTATTCCAATGGAGCGTGGAGCGGAAGCAAGAAGAACAAAAACGGAAGGTGGAAAGGCTCCCGCACACCTCCCCGTCTGCCCCCCACTCCTCCCCGGGCGCTCCCCCACTCCGTCTAGTAGAGGTGGGGACGGCGCGGGCGCCTTTCCACGTTCCGTTTTTGTTCTTCTTGCTTCCGCTCCGCGCTCCATTGGAATACCCTTTAGGGCATTCCGCTGCAAGCGAACCGGAACCCAACGAAGAAAAGCATGACTGCTCGATCTGCTTCCCTCTGCGTGCACATTGGCTGACCGACATACCAACGTCGTTGTTGGCAAATCAGCGTTTAGGAGCGAACAGATGGGCAGTGATGCTTTTCCTCTTTAGGGTTCGGTTCGCTTGCAGCGGAATACCCTACAGGGAAGTAGTACGGGACTAGGGCCTCGCACAATAAAGAATTCCGGTACAGTTGCAGTGCGAGTGCGGGCAAGAAGAAAACGGAAATCGCTATGCTTTAACATGGTGACTTCCGTTTTCTTGTTCCTCGCATTCTTCTGCATTTCGGCTTTACCGGAATGCTTTAAATTTGACATGCTCACTGAATCCGTCGGGGACATTTTACTCCAAAATTAGGGAAACAAAACCAGGGGTATGCAACGCATTCTCTGCGTAACAACAAAGACATGGATATAATCAATGCTCCAATAGGGTTTTTCAATGGAGCGCTGCCCGGAAGTAAGAAGAACAAAACCGGATACAGAACAGAGAGCGGTGGTAGGGGCGGGCGAGCGGAGGAGCGGAGTGCGGGCGGGGAGGCTCCCCTCCACCCGCCGCTCCTCCGCGCGCCCGCCCCCACCACCGCTCTCTGTATCCGGTTTTGTTCTTCTTACTTCCGGGCAGCGCTCCATTGAAATACCCTATTAAAATATGAATAGAAGAATAATACAATTTGCTTACCTCAGGGCTTGTAGCGTTCCATGGTACAAGAGTGGTTATTGCCACGCAACTTAGATCCAGTGGAGTAGATTGAACGAAGGGAGGTGTAGGGTTCACTCTAAGACTCTAACATCAGAGGGACCAACATCATCAAAAATATCCTCCTTTGTTACCATTGCAGCCTGTGTGTGTAAACAAAAATAGAAGTTAGATTTGCCTTTACAAGCCTTTACACAAACATCAGATGCATCAGTGCATGAACAACATGTAGTCCTCCCCCAAAAGTTGAGGAGCCCAAAATCAATAAACAATGCGGGTTTGTTGCTGTACTCTCGCATTTCAATGAATTTCAGTCGAATAAACCAAAGGGGTAATAGGACCACTTAACCTAAACAGTGACAAAACATGGGTCGTTTGAAATTGTAACTCACCGATTAATCCAGTAAAGTTTTGTTGAAACACATGTCGGTTAGGAGGTGTCGTTGCTCGCCGCCTCGCCTCAAATAACCACCGAAAACAGGTGGAATCTCAGGTAACCAACTCAGAATAATGTTGATCAAAACACACAACAAACCGAGCGAAAGCGGGCGAGCTTCGGTCCGGCCCGCTCGGCGCTCGGCTCGGCGTTCGGGTCCCGGCTCGGCTCGGCCTCTCGACTCGTCACGCCCGGGCGGCGCTTGGCTCCGTTTGGAAAGAAATTGTTATTGTGAGTGATCAAGAACTCAGATCAAGACGCCACTTACAATGGACCTTCGTTATAGTTCCACCTTGCCATAGGTTGTTGAGTTTTTCCGGTAAGTGGAGTGGTTCTCCCACATTAACTTGCCAAAGTCAGCGGTCCAGTCGGCCCCGACGTCACTCCATTCCGTTCTTTTGCGAATACTTAATAATTACGGGTTATTTCAAGGAAAGTGTGGTATGAGAAGAAAGAGGACAATCTGTAGCGTGCAGTGGTATGGTTGGTTTGGTAACGTTACACTCAAAGTTTTGCACAAATCGCAAAATTCGTCCTCCGCGGCGCGCGCCGCGCCGCGCGCCCGTGACGGAGCATCGCCTCAGCCGCGCGGCTGGCGTTGCATACCCCTGGTTTCGTTTCCCTAATTTTGGAGTAAAATGTCCCCGACAGATTCTGTGAGCATGTCAGATATAAAGCATTCCGGTAAAGCCGAAATGCAGAAGAATGCGAGGAACAAGAAAACGGAAGTCACGTCATGTTAAAGCATAGCGATTTCCGTTTTCTTCTTGCCCGCACTCGCACTTCAACATGGTTGCCACAACTCTGGAAAACCTTGAGAACCTGGAAAACTCAGGGAAAGAAAAAAACAGTCAGGGAAATCAGGGAAAACTCACGGAAAATGAAAAAAAGTCAGGGAAATTTGTTCTGATCGGTCCGCAAACTGCATTCTATTCGCTATTTAGGTCAAACACACATTTTGACGTCCAAGCGAGGTGTTTTTGACCCGAAATTTTTCGCGCTCGCTTCGCTCGCGGTCTTTTTCTACATTAGGACTACGGGCTCTTGGCAAGTACGCTTAAATGCTTGCATGCAGGGGATTGGTTGCCCCTGCACTTCGCCAGGTATAGTGCTCAAATCTATGGGAAATTTAGGGAGAATGTGTCGAAAACTCAGGGAAAATGGAAATGAAAATTTTGTGGCAACCATGTTCAACTGTACCGGAATTCTTTATTGTGCGAGGCCCTAGTCCCGTACTACTTCCCTGTAGGGTATTCCGCTGCAAGCGAACCGGAACCTAAAGAGGAAAAGCATCACTGCCCATCTGTTCGCTCCTAAACACTGATTTGCCAACAACGACGTTGGTATGTCGGTCAGCCAATGTGCACGCAGAGGGAAGCAGATCGAGCAGTCATGCTTTTCTTCGTTGGGTTCCG